CTCGGTGGGAAGGTAAAGCGGCGTTCCCTAGTCACGCTGGCCATTTGAAAATGGAAACGGTCTTTGGACAAGTGCTGGCTCTACAGCTTGAAAAACGGGATGAGCACCACCCCCTAGAGTTGGACACAACTGGACTAAAAAAAAAATGTCAAGGGGAACCTTTACCTTTACCTTACAGACTGGAAATAATTCTTCACACAGGTGTGTAAGGTTCATTGTGTGACATACACAGTCCTGATCCGGCCTGTCTTTCTTTCTGTCATATTGTGTTTGAGAATGGCTGATTTTACACCATTTGACTTAGGCCAGCATTGATGAGTGATTGAGATTCTGACCATTGTTTGTTGTAACCAAACAATTTAATTAAGGAATTGATGCCACTAATTCAATGAATTACTTGTTGCCTGATTTCAGTTGTGGCAACAATGGATTAATCTCTTTATAGGCTAATGTTTAGCACCAACGAATTAATTTTCAGCTCTTGGTTGGTATGGGCTCAGGCACATAAAATCAGAAGCACATGGGGCGCTTTACAGTAGAGAGATGAGCTTGTTCAAGAATTTGTCTTTCGTTTGTGTCCCTTTTCCGTGTCACCCTGACACCTCCTCCCAGGTCCACTGTAACAACATGCACACCCACGGGGTGAGCATCTTCCGGCAGGTGGACTGCCTCTTCAAGCGCAGCCTGGCCACAGCCTGGGAGGCCACCCCTGTCTCCCTGCAGCTTGCTGTGGATGTGAAGAACCCCAGCGCACGGACCCTGACGGTGCCTCTCGAGGGGCGACTGGCCTTGTTCATCCAGTGCCATTTTCACTTCGCCAGCGAGTGGATGCTCTTCAGTGAAATAGCCTTTCTCTCCGGTGAGTTGGAGCTGGTTGCGGGGGGTAGACTGTAGGTCTGAAGGGTAAAGCAAGACCTTCAAGAGTTCCAGCGACGCGGAATCATCTCCCTTTCGTCTGCACTACCCGTCAATGGTGTGTGTTTAGCGGGGAGACAGGTTAGATCGGGACAAAGTACGGGGGGGGGAAACTGGGAACTGTGGGCCAAAATAAAAACCAGGGTTCTGAAGGGGGGGTTGTGTTTTGTGTGCAAAAGGCTTGATCCTTGATGTCCTTCATTACAAAGAATTGCTGAATGGTAGGGCTGGGACAACTCCTCCTCCCCCCCCTCCCCAGTTAATGAGAAAGCCTTCATTCATGAGAACAAGCTAGCCATTTCTTACTGTGGTGGCTAAGGAGGATGGGAGTTGTAGTCAAAGGATGTCTGGAGGGCACCATCTAGGACGGATGAGATGGATCAAAAGGACGGATTCAGAAGGTATAGGCTGCATATGTGCTTTTTGCCCAGAGGCAGTTTTTCCAATTAAATTAGACGTTTGAGCTGATGGTGCTTCAAAGATCCATCGTTCAGCGTTGACAGAGGGATAATTCCATTGCATGGGATTGATACCTGTAGTTTTCACTAACCCATAAATTTGTGATTTATGAATTAATAAAAGCCTCCCTCCCTCCCCTTCGTTCATTCATGATGTTTGGAAGCTCTTGCATATCTGGGTGGCCTATGTGCCCCTTCTTATAGCCAACACTGCAGTGAGATGTTGAGTCATTTTTATCAGAGGAAAGCTTGGTTGGGGGGAAAGCAGAGGGTGGGAGGGGGCAGAGTAACCCCCCCCCGGTCACTCTGTGCTCCCTGCTTTCAAGTGTCCTTCATCTCCAGTTGCTTTATAGCAGAGACACTGGGGATTGGACTTCCCAGACATCGGATGGCTTATTCCACTGTTCTGTTCATATGATCCTGCTTTTTCTCATTACTGTTCCTTAAAAAGAGTAGTGGAAGAGTAGAAGGGAAGGATTTGAGCCTATGCTTTACCTGTTCATCTTCCATATACAGTGGTGCCTCGCAAGACGATTGCCTTGTGGGACGATTAGTCCGCAAGACGATGGGTTTTTGCAATCGCTGTTGCGCTTCACAAGACGGTTTTTCCTATGGACAATTTTCGTGATGTTTGGGTCTATGCTTCGCAAGACGGGGTTTTTTTTAGACCGATGCTTCGCAAAGACTGTTTTTTCCCCATTGGAACGCATTAAATAGATTTCAATGCATTCCAATGGGGAACCACATTTCGCAAGACGATGTTTTCTCAAGACAACGATTTTTGCGGAACGAATTATCATCGTCTTGCGAGGCACCACTGTATGTGTATATTATTGTTATGTCCATTCTCTTTCCTGCTTTTTTATTCAGCTTATTGATTCCTTACTTTCCAGACATTGTTGATGATCCTCCTCTCTCCTCATCAACCCGCCGGCCTCCAGGAGTGCCCCTCCCGCGTCCTTCAGGTCGTAACACCCCCATCTCCACAGCCCTGGGATCTCCAGTGAATGAAAAGAATGATGTCAGCTCAAACCTCACCATCCAAGGTGAGTCATACATATGATTCGACCACTGCATAATGCCTGGTTTGCTGCCATTCTTCTATAGAGCATCAGTGGTTTTGAAATGTCGTAGCTTGGGGGCCACACCTAGACATTTCCTCCCTATGTTTCTCTCCCTTTAAGGTACTGAAATTCAAGGGGAACCAAAATCAGGCCAGCCCATTGCCAAGGATGATAACAGCAACACCTCCATCCTGATTGGATGCCTGGTAGCCATCATCCTGCTTCTGTTGGTCGTGATCTTCCTCATCCTTTGGAGGCAATATTGGCAAAAGATCTTGGGAAAGGTAAGCCAGGGTGGACCTGGGGAAAGATGCTGCAATGATTTCCGTGGGTTCAGGACCAGATTGAAGGTGGCCCCACTGCTTGAGAATGAGGCACTTTGAAACTGACATATGTGTAAAGCAAGGGGTGGGCAAAATGCATTCTGGAACCCACTTCAGTATCCCCAAAATAAAAGGAAAGGGAGGGGAGGGGAAGGTGGAAGGGAAGGAATCTGGGATCTCCAGGTAGAAGGCTCAGTTGGCAGGTGATAAGGGAAACTTTTCATTTCCCTAGCCATTCCTAAGAATACGATTTAGGAGTAACCAGGATTAAACTTAGGGAGAGCCTTGGTTTCTTCATTCTAGAAGGATCTTGAAGATGGAAGAGGGAAAGATAAAGGGGATACATTGAGTTTTTCCTGGATTTCCTGACATGGTGGATGAGGATTTCCTGAGAGTCTTGGAGATGAGATGCCATCAACCTTCACCTTTGTATCTATCTTCCCTGCCATTCCCCGGTATATAGGCACAACGCCGAATCTCTGACGATGACCTCACTGTTCACCTCTCTGCCCCGACCGACACCATCGTCATCAACAACACCATGGGCTCCCACCGGCACTCCAACCGCTACGAGCGTATCCACTCTGGGGAGACGGAATACCAGGAGCCCAACAGGGCCCGCATGAAACTGCCCGACCTGCCCCACAGCACCGAGAACTCGGGTGAGGGGGTGGACTGTGGAACTACGGGAGGGAGTGGGGCTTAAGTGGGGAGCAGGCAGGAGAGGAGGAAGGAAGGAAATGGATCAAGTGGGGACTGGAAAAGGCATGGAGAGGCAACGTCTGTGGGTTTTTTTTGGGGAGGTGGAGCAGCACAATTCTGTAGACTGGATGGATTTTGGAAGAGGCGTTTTTGGTCTACCTAGGCTGGAATCCCTCAGATTCTGGAGGATTCTGGGACTTGTAGTTCAAAAAGGAACCTTTCCAAGGTATGGGTTAGAGCTGTCTGACTCCTTTGTGGATGAATTAGGTAAGTAGTGAGAGCATCATAGCTATGGATCCCCTAGTGTTGGACAACAAGAGAGCATGAATGGGGGCATCGAGGGGCAGATATTCTTCCAAAGATGTTTTGGTGAATGCTCATGAAATAACAGTCCAGCATGCTCATGAAATAACACTACAGTAACATCTGCATGATATTTACTTACAAAATGGTTGCTCCTTGTATTTGAAACCAAGTTATTCAATTAACATTTAGCAGGGAGACACGGGAATGGTAAAAATTGTGCCAGAGTCCGGATCCAGCATAAAAACCCCATGCCGTTATTTCCCAAAGGACAAATAATTTGTCTTGTCATGTTTTGGTTTTTCCTGCATTGTATATATTTAAAGATGGGTCCACCTAAACATAGGACTACGTTTAGTGTCACCTTCCCTACATAAAAAAGGGAAAGGCACAGTGCATTACTTGGCATAATAATTATGGGTCATCGTGTTGATTCTGACCTATGGAAATCCTTTCCAGGATTTTCTGTGTTGTCGGAGGCTGCTCTGAGACTGTGCAGCTTGCCTAAGGCTGTACAGGCTAGTTTTGCTCCTACTAGGCAGAGTGGCAATTCAGATTCCTGATCCTTGGCTCCCTGTGTTCTCACTCCAGCTAGATAAATAACTTGGTACAAGGAAGCAAACCAACAACAACAACAAATACTGTGTTGATTTGCAAAAGAATCATACCTGTTTGAACTGGAGAATATGGGGGGAGGGATATCAACATAAGATAAATGAAATGAATGATTGACACATGGAGCTGAAGAGTCCTTGAAATTTATGTACCGTATTTTTCACACCATAAGACACTTTTTTCCCCACAAAACAGGGGGTGGTGGAAAGTCTGTGCGTCTTATGGAGCGAAGAAAACAGATTATATTTTCCTGTTTTCTTCTCCTAAAAATTTGGTGCGTCTTATGGAAAGGTGCATCTTATGGAGCGAAAAATACGGTAGTTTATCTGCTGAGTGCAGGAATCTTGCAACTGCAGTATTGCTGGTGGAGGGCCAGCCAGCTAGTACTTCAAAACCTCAACAAGCCCAATATCTCTTGAGGCAACCTTTCCCACTGCCAGACAGCATCTCTTTAGAAATCTCTCATAGACTATTGTTTAGCCAAAATCAGCTTCCTAATAATTTCCATCCGCTGGAGCAAGAGGGAAGGGAAACCATGCTCTGCCATCTATGTGTGTATGCTTGAGGGCTTGTAGATGCTTTGTACCTAGAAGGACCCATTCATTTAGCCTCTGGCATCTTTGTGTGGAACTGGGGAAGAATCCTGCCCAATGCTCTCCAGAGTCTTTGCCCATCAGAACTGAAAATACTGGGCTACGTAGGCCAGTGCTCTGACCACTGGTCTAAGGCTGCTTTGCATGTTTCTAAGGCGATTGTCATGTTTCTCATCAACCCTGTCTTCTCCAGGCTAGCCATGCCTAGCTTTTTTTACTTATTCATCATAAGACTTGGTTTTGCAGACCCGTGAGAATCCTGGTTGCTCTTTTCAAAACGTGCGCTGGCGGTATATTTTTTTTTAAAGAAAAAAAATGCATCCAGAAATGGACACTGTACTCCACCTGCAGCATGGCTGGCACCATTTTATACTTTCTGGTGATGACAGAATCATAGAAAAATGGAGTTGGAAGGGGGGCCTATACGGCCATCGGGTCCAACACCCTGCTCAAGGCAGGAATCCAAATCAAAGCAGATCTGACAGAGGGGTGTCCCGTTTTCCCATGAATGCCTCCAGCACTGGAGTGCTCACCGCCTCCTAAGATAATTGATACAGCAGAAATGTGGCGCTAACACTTGAAGCCTAGCTATGCAGCTTTGGCCTCTGATGTTTTTCCCGGGTCCTGATGAACTGAAACCCAGTTGATCACAGGAGGGGTGCTTTAAATGGGAGTAAGCCCAGTTTTCATCTCAGGAATTTGCTTTCTGGTGAAGCAACAGCTGGCGTTCTTGGTATGTCAGATTCTAGGCCCAGCATAAAAATTCCACACTGGTGTGGCATATTTATGGAAGTTCAGAGGGCAGCCCAGTCACTTAGGTGTGGATGGATGTTGCTGATCACACTTTTTCCTGAAAAAGGCAGGTTGCTTGGCAAGAAACCTGCTTGTTCGGTGAGGCAGGACATTTTATTGGGGCCTCTGACTGCTTTTGAAATGACTGTCACACAGAATGACAGCCATTACAGTATTCCTAAATGACCAGCCTTCCAGCTTTTAAGTGATTTATTTTATGAAGTTGTTAAATTCAACCCCGCTTGGTCTTATAACGGACCTCAGAAGCCTATAAAAATCCCTGTCAGCCATTCCCCTTAAACCTCCCCTACTTTGTATATTTTCTTTCACTGAAAATCGTGACGGTTCTGTGATTCCCCTCCTTCTTATTATGTATTGTATAAAGCTGGGCTGGGGTCAGTTAGGCTCCATCTGAAGGGAATGAGGAGAAAAAAATGAAAAAAGCACATTGTAGTTGTGAATTTGGAAGTATCTTCACGTCCTGAAAACTCTTCCTTTACAATGCATAGTTCTCAATAAAATATGTTTAAAGGGCCTTGGGGAAAAAGGAAAGGAATTCAATATGGAAAAATATGTGACATTCAATTCTACAGATGCAAGAGTAGGTAATATATTTTATTGGACCTCTTCCAATATTAAATTTGTTTAAAATATTAAACAAATAGCAAACCTTTGTGGATGAATTCCATTTCCTGAGGCGCTGAGCGCACTTCCTTCATGGATGGTGCAGGAAAATTGACCAGAAATTGATTTTACACATCTGGGAGAGATGATCAGCTCTTCTTGGGAGTCTGGGCTTCTACTGTCTCTGTAGCAAGGTTTTGAATTTTCACACCCCGGCTTTTGAGACCATCAGGTTGCGAATTATGCTTTGATTGCCCCACAATTCTATATGGAACCCTCTGGGAAGAAAATGGCCCCTTCTCCTTTTACTCTTTGGAGTAAAAATCAGGAAAGTGGCTAATTTGATTTACAGTTCCTAGATTCCTTCTGTGAGCCTCACCACTGGCAAACTAGAGTCCCAACACGTTAGATACTAAGCCTTTTGTGTATTGGTCTTTGAGGTGAAAGTTGGCACCCCAGTTCAGTCTTTAGTTGATTAATTGAAGAGTTAAACTGTGCAGCGATCGCTTAAAATATAGAGAAAGAACACTGTTGACCATTACAGTTCAGTAAAAAAAAAATGCATGTACCCACAGAGAGATGCACAGGTTCCTAAAAACATGGATACCCCATCCCTACTTCTCAGCTGAAAAAATTATCATCATCATCATCATCATCATCTTAGAACTGCAGATCTGGAAGGGAGCCTCTGGATCATCGAGTCCAGCCCCTGTCAAGGAGGTAGAGTGGTGGATCGAACTCTGCAACCCTTCGTTCTGCAGCCAGAACCCTAAACCACTGAGCTATTGAACAGTTCTTATAATTATCATGAATAATAATACAGTGGTGCCGCGCATAGCGAGGTTAATCCGTTCCGGATTAACCTTCGCTATAGCGAAACATCGCTAAACGGAATTTAAAAAGCCATAGAAACGCATTGAACTCACAGTTAAGCGATGTTCCTCCATAGCGCCGCCATTTTCGCGCCCTCGGTAAGCGAGGGCAGGGCGCGAAAATGTGGCGTGGACCTTCCGGCGGCCATTTTGGAACCGCCGATCAGCTGTTCTGCCCCGCTTCGTTATGCAATATTCGCTAAGCGAGGCGCTCGTTAAGCGAGGCACCACTGTAATGATGATGGTGATATTAGAACTGCGATGATGATGATGATGATAGAACTGCGGAGCAGGAAAGGATCCTATGGATTATCGAGCCCATCCCTTGTCAAAGAGGCACAAGGAGCAAATCGAACTCCTGACCTTTGGCTCCTCAGTCAGATGTCTCAACCACTGAGCTACCCAGTTCTTGGACTACAAACGTAGCACAAGGCAGGCTCTTTGCTCCACAGATTGATGTGTAGATAGCTGGAAAGAGGTGGAAGAATCAATATAAAAATGTGAGGCTAAGATTATACCAGCCAACATCATTCATTTGGGGTTTTTAAATATTTTGCTTGCATGTATCAGTATCAGTTTGGGGCGTGGTGGCGCTGCGGGTTAAACCGCAGAAGCCTCTGTGCTGCAAGGTCAGAAGACCAGCAGTCGTAAGATCGAATCCACGTGACGGAGTGAGCCCCCATCGCTTGTCCCAGATCCTGCCAATCTAGCAGTTCGAAAGCATATAAACATGCAAGTAGATAAATAGGTACCACCTCGGTGGGAAGGTAACAGCGTTCCGTGTCTAGTCGCGCTGGCCACGTGACCACGGAAACTGTCTTCGGACAAACGCTGGCTCTATGGCTTGGAAACGGGGATGAGCACCGCGCCTTAGAGTCAGACACAACTGGACTAAATGTCAAGGGGAACCTTTACCTTTACCTATCAGTACGCTAGTTATATTGATTGGTTGTGAACTGAAAGCAAGCTGTGAATTGTGGATCTTACGGAAGGAGAGAAGAAAGGAAACTGAAGGAGTAAGGAAAGGCGCTTGGTTTTTGTTCAATGTGTTTAAAAAAGCTCTGGAGATATTTTCCAGTCCGAGAGACAATGGGCGATTTAACAGTTTGGCAAAATCGAGTTCAGCAAAAGTGATCTAAATTGCAGAAAGGTAGTTTAGGTTTTTAAATGTTTCATCTGCTTTTAGAAAAAGCAGCACGCTGCAAGTACCAAACAAGCACTTCAGGCCTCAGTTTCTTCCTTTTCTGCATGCAAGGAAGAATATTTCACATGAAGGTCACTTCACCTATACAGTCCACACTTCCTGTGCACTGTATAGGAAGGACTTTAATTCTATGACACTGCTGAACGTAGAGCTTTGTCCAGTTTTGTTGTTCCCAGAATAAAATGAAATTAGATACTAAGTAATAAGGAAAGGTGGGAAGGGAAGCAAAGGGATAAATGTCCAATAAGGATTGAATGAAAAATACAGAGAAACTAAGAGAAAGGAAAGGTATTGGATGCTATTTTGTTTTTCTCCCATTAGAAAATACACTACTCCCCACTCGTCTTTACTTTATTTCTTTCATTGATGTGTGCCTATTTTATATTGCCTCCCTACAGTTTGGTGGGGTTTGTTTGTTTGTTTTAAATGTAGGAAGGATAACTCATTTGACTTTTCTACCTCTAGCGTAAAGTGGCACAGCCCAAAAACATTTTAAAACTAATTAGATCATCAACATACCATCATTCACCAGTGGCACCTGGATGGTTTACAAAATGTAATAAAAATTTAAAAATAAAAAACCAATTAAACAAAAAGAAGACAAAAATGACATAAAATAGAATAGCTACACTATTTGGATTCATAAAATCATGTAGGATTTGGATTACGAATATTCATCTCCCCTAAACTAAGCCTCATTTAACCCACCTGATCTTTTTTCTTTTCTTTTCTTTTTTAAAGTTTGCTTCCTTGTCATTCAGAAACTGGGGGAACAAATTGGGCAGAAATTTTCGCAAAGGCTTTCACGACTGGGATCTAATAGTTGGTGTGGTTTTTTTGGCCGTGTTCTGAAGGTTGTTCTACCTAACGTTTCGCCAGTCTCTGTGGCCATGGGCATCTTCAGAGGGCAGCCAAAGAGCCCGAAAAACCCACAACAACCATGAGCAGAAATTCTTAGGAACCCTTTCCAGGAACAGAGGATTTTTTTAGGGAGAGAGTGAAGGTGTGATGAGTGAAGGGAGTAGCCAGGAGTCCTAGATTTCCGTCCAAAGTGCGAATGTTGGGAGGTTTCCCATCATTCCGTGTCATGTGGTGTTTGTGTCTCTGGCTGGTGTGTTTGGGATGAGGGGGCCTTTAAAAAGGGGACAGGCATCCCTAAAGTGCTACCTCTTCTCTGTGTCACGCCTTACCTTTCGTGTGCGTCTCTCCATCCATCCATCCGTCTGTCTGTCTGTCCGTTCCTCATCCGTCCGTTTGTCTTCTCCCCCCCCCCACCCCCCCGCCCTCCCATTCTCCCGACAGCTCTGCTGCTCAGCAACCCGGCTTACCATCTCTTCCTGGCCACTTATGCCCAGCCTATGGGAAGGCCTGCTTTCCCGCCACCCAACCGGGTTAAGCCCATCAACACCAATGGTAAGGAGGGCGCCGAGCTTGGGTGGCACGGGACTGGGAAACCTGGGTGGCCGCAGTCCACGCAAATCGGAACATTCCCCCTCCCACCCCGTCGCTGCTGCCTTCTGCAGCTTCTCTCCCGCCTACCGGGGAGCCCTGTCTGCCTCCATCTCTCTTTCTCCGACACGTCTGTCCCCCACGTTCCTCTCCCCTCTTTGTCTGTCCTCTGCATGGCTAATCCGCTCTTGCTCACACAAGGGGTTAACCTCCAGCTTTTGCAGGTTCTGTGATGTGGTAGCTTTTGGAGGGGACGGAGTGGGTTTGAGGGTGGAGAAACTGAGAATTGATAAGAGTACCTTTTGCCTGAAGCTTGAGGTGCAGCTGACTCTTGAGGGCTGCGATGTTCTCAGAGATGCTTGGGGGTAGAGCAAATGTGAACCCACAGAGGTAGACTCACCTCCAGATTCTCTTCTCCCTCTACAGCCTGTGGGGTTGACTACATGGAGCCTGAGATGGCCGGCAGCCAACCGGGCTTCCAGAACAACGTCCCCCATTACGCAGAAGCTGACATCATTAACCTGCAGGGGGTGACTGGGGGAAACACTTACGCTGTGCCAGCCGTTGCTGTGGATGCCCTGACCGGCAAGGACATGGCCTTGGGCGAGTTTCCCCGGGAGCGGCTCGTTTTCAAGGAAAAGCTCGGGGAAGGGCAGTTTGGAGAGGTGAGTGGCATCGGCGCGACACGCTTTTGCACCAAAAGATTAAGAAAAAGACTTCCTGGATTTGTTTCGGTAGAAAGCAGAGCTTAGGAAAATTCATTTTATTTTGACTCACAACTCCCGGCATCCATCCTTCAGCCAGCCGTACAACCATCCCCGGCTCTGAAAGAAGATGCACATTTAAACTAATATGATGTGAAATACAGTGGTGCCTCGCTTAACAATGTTAATTGGTTCCAAAAAACCCATCGCTACGGGAAAACATCGTTAAGCGAAACACCATTTCCCATAGGAATGCATTGAAAACCGGTTAATCCGTTCCAATGGGAACGGATTACCGTCCTTAAGTGACAATCCCCATAGGAAACATCGCTAAGTGAAACAATGTTTCCCCCAACGGAAAGCCATTCAAAAGCATTGCAGCCGGCTGCAATGCTTTTGAATGGCTTTTCGATCTCCGTTTTTGCTCATTTTTAAGTGTCTTAAAATGTTTGAAACCTGTTTTAAATGCTTGGAATCGGTAGTGCACCTTGTGAAACCTATGCAAACTTAATTTGGCTCTGTTCTGAGTCTTCGTTAATTTTTGGTGATTTTTTGTTTTCCCCATTTAAATCCATTGAACTGTCCCTTCAATCGATTTAAATGGGGAAAACAAAAAAATCACCAAAGATTAACGAAGACTCAGAACAGAGCCAAATTAAGTTTGCATAGGTTTCACAAGGTGCACTACCGATTCCAAGCATTTAAAACAGGTTTCAAACATTTTAAGACACTTAAAAATGAGTGAAAACAGAGATCGTTAAGTGAAAACCCCCATAGAGAACATCGTTAAACGATGCAGAAAATTCCTCCAAGAAACACATCGTTAAGTGAATTCTTCGTTAAACGAAGCAGTCGCTAAGCGAGGCACCACTGTAATAGATCTCAGCGTTAACGTGCCTTCAGAGTCTCAGGTCTTCGGAATCTCTGGCTGAGACAATGAGGCTGGAAGGCATGAGAGCCTGGGAGGTGACCCATTATGGGAGACAGTATGAGATCAGGCTGATTTGTTAAAAAGGAAATTACGGATGTAGTGCTTCCAGTTCTTAAGTAGAGCCGCAGTCCTCCTCTTCTTGGCCTCTTCTTTACATGAGTACATGCATGGTGCAGTTTTGCACAAAATGCCAACGGATGTTAATTGCCATACTTGATAGCAGCGGTAAGTGAATATTCCTACAAGGCCAAAACTAGTAGAGGTTCACATCTCTACTTTGAAGACTCTTGCATCAAACACTCCCTTTATCACTTAGTGTGGACAGGCTGTGCCAGCAGCATAGATATTCAAGCTGTGTCCCCCACAAGGAAATAAGAGGGCAACATCTTGACGCCCATAGAAGGAGAATTGGTGGAACGCCTGAAACTTGACAATATTTTCCCCTCAAGTGTGAACGTGTGTTATTGTCCCCCAATATAGCATCCCCATATGTGTTAGGCAACAACTCCCATGATTCCCAGTCAACACGGCCTGTGGCTGGGAGTTGTAGTCTAACCGTTGTACTTCAACACTTCTGGAGTGGGTGAGGTTGCGGTCCTCCTGCTTGTCCCAGAAGGATCAGGAGGTGGAGAAAAGTGGCTTTCTTCCTTGCCAGCCATGCCTCTTTCCCTCCCTCTTGTAATTCTCTGGGTCTTTTTCTCTCCTCATAAGGTTCATTTGTGTGAGGTAGAAAACCCTCAGGACCTTCCCAGCTTGGAGTTCCCGTTCAATGTGCGCAAGGGGCGCCCTCTGCTGGTGGCCGTGAAGATTCTGCGGTCTGATGCCACTAAGAATGCAAGGTACGCCTTCTCTGCCCAGATAAATACAAAACATAATGCAGTATCGAAGAGCAGTCCATTAAATGGTCGTCGTCGTCATCTTATTGGAACTGTGGAGCTGGGCCAGACCCCTATGGACCGAGTCCCTGTCAAGGAGGCCCAGTGTGGAATTGAACTCCGAACTTCTGGCTCTACAGCCAGATTCTTAAGCTACTGAATGTGTCATAAGTACTAGATGGAACCACCTAATTCAACCTGGTGCATAAGCGGAGATTATTTGTTTATTTATTATTTAATTTTATTGATATATTATCAATATATTATAATATATTATAATTTTTATAATACATATTAATATTATTACTATTAATGTGTTGCTGTTAAATAACCTTCGGAAGTACAGTCCCCCAGCCATTTCTGTTTGAGCAGTTTCATAAACTGCCTAATTTATGCTGATTCCAGAATCTGGGTTTCATTGTTGCCAAAGGTCAAGAGCTGTTTTCCTCACACACACACACCCATCAACCTCTGTCTAACCTCTCTCTACCCTTTGTCATGGATGGGTCATGGATGGCCCACAAGAGGATGCTGAATTGTAACTGCCATCAGTCCTAACAAGTGGCAAGATAGGCTAGAAGCTGTCATTCAGTCACATTTTGAGTACCTCAGGTGGCCCCACCATTGTCTGCTAGGGAGGGCAGGACGAGCGCCTCATTCAGGCATTCAGACCTATTTGCATAAAAGCGGAAAGGGAGGGAAGGGTCTGTGAACCTAGTTTGATGCCTCTTCCGCTCCTGGCTTAGTCCTTGACCTGCCCAGATGGCGCAAGGACGTTTGAAGAAGGGATTTTAGTTTAGTTTTCGCTAACGCTAGGTAGGGGAGATGACTTGTGATTCTGCCCTGTAGCAGCCACGGCGAACCTATGGCACACGTGCCACAGTTGTCACGCAGAGCTCTCTCTGTGGGCACGCGAGCCATAAGTTGGTGGATCGCTACCCCCCGGCAGCCAAATCTGAGGAGGAGGCTGCAGCCGCAGTGCTGGCATCCTGACAGGTGGTGGGCCAGGATCCAGAGTAGCTGGCACTGGTGGTGATAGGTGGTGGGCCAGGATCCAGAGTAGCTGGACATGATGAGGCGGATCTGGAGTAGGGTCTGGAGGCACCTCCGTGCCCGGGGCTGCCACTTCCGCTTCTGCTGCCGCTACTCCTGCTGCCGCCACCAGTGCCGCCATCACTGCCCTATAGTGGCGTCAGCAGATTGTGGCCTTCCACGTGTTACTGGATTATAGCTCCTACTGAGATTTGTGGCCCATCAATTGCCCACCTTTCCTTTGTAGGGAGGGCTGAGATGTTAGAAATTGTGGGAGAATGAATTAAAAACAAAACAAAACGTGTGTTGGGAACCAGGTTTCTCTCTTGGGAGTTCCGTGTCTCATTTTCCCCCCTGTCTGTGTCTGTTCCTGCCTTTGAAAGGAATGACTTCCTGAAGGAGGTGAAGATCATGTCTCGCCTGAAGGACCCCAACATTGTGAGGCTGCTGGGTGTTTGCGTCCAGGATGACCCTCTCTGCATGATCACGGAGTACATGGAGAACGGCGACCTCAACCAGTTCCTTAGTGGGCATGAACTGGAAGACAAGCTGGGCGGTAGCCCTAGTGGGAAACCGACCATCAGGTATCAGCCTACAGTTCCAGAAAGCAAAACCCGCTTGTTTTACGGTTTGTGCGGAAACAAACTTGAATCTGTTTTAATTTCCACAACAGTGATGGTGATTGCCGGTCATTTTAGAAATTAAAGGTACATGCAAAGATGTAAAAATTGGGGGGTTGGAAATATTCTCAGTCAATATGTTGGACTTCACAGTTGGCAAATCAGCTTTCTTTTTTTAAAGTCAACAAAGAGTACCAGGAAATCGGTTTATAGGCACCATTTTGGAATGTCATTGATGCAGGGGTGGGAAATCTTTTGGTTTCCAGGTATTTTTGATTCGTAATTCCCCTCAGCCCTACCAACTATAGTCAGTGGTGAGGGGTTGTGGGAACTGCAATACAGAACACCAGGACGACTGGGTTCTTCAACCTTCCTTGTTCTCTCTCTCTCTCCCTCTCCCTCCCTTTGATGACTGTTTTTGCTTTATTATGTCTCCTTTGTTATATACATTTTTAAGCTGCCAAAAAATCCAGATACTTGTGTATTTGGGGATTTAAAAAATAGAAAAATGTTTTGCAAGCTGATATTTACTGTAAGAATGGCTGAAAATATATTCCTTAGTTGCATTAGAGTAGGCCCATTGATTGTTTGGTGAGTGAATTTCTTCATAAGTTCCATTGATTCTAGTGGGCCTACTCTGGTTGTGACTTTAACATAGTAAGTTGCACTTAGAGTAGGTTCATTTGAACTAGTGGGCTTTATGGAGACATTGCCTCACAAAATCTCCATCAGTTCTGTGGGCTTACTCTAGTGTGAAGTACTACTCTAAGCAGTGGGATTTCAGTCACTGTCGCTTAGGGTTGTGAACATTTTAGAAGCAGAGTCAAAGACCGTCATTTCAGAATGTAGAAGCAGAAGTAGAGACTGTCAGGGTCAACAAATTCAAGTGAAATTTGATTTTCAGAAAGTTGGATTTTGAATTTGAAATGTTTTAAGCACACGTGAATTTTGTTTCCACCCAAATTGGGCCCACCAAGATAGACAGTGCTGGAGAAGGAAGTAGAGGAGGATAGATCATTGTGTTTCACTGGATTCACGATCAATAGATTTGATCTATTGAGAGGATTTCAATCCAGATGAATTAAATACAATAGGACCTCCATATTTTCTGGGGATTGGTTCCAAGCCCCCTGTGGATACTGAAAACCATGGATAATAGAGATATTTGCCTGATAAAAGAAAAAAAAAACCCAGGAGTTTTATTTTCACATGCATTACTATAGCTGGCTACTAGAGGGTGCCAGAAGACCATTCTATGTAGTCTTCACTAAGAAGTATTCATAACATGGTCTCTGTCTCCCTCTAGTGGCCAGCTATGGTACACTATGTGAAAGTGGGTTTTTTTTTGGATTTTTTTATTTTAATATTTTCAGACTGTGGATAGGTGAATCAGTGGATACTGATCCTATAGATAAGAGGGTCCTGCTGTACCCTCAAAGGCAAGAGATATGCCCAGTGTCTGAGAGGAATGTACTTGGATCTATTCTTGTCATCAAGTTCTTTCGATGGCATGACCTGACGCACCTTGTTCTGTCTTCTCACTGTCCAGCTATCCAACCCTGGTCCATGTGGGTGCCCAGATTGCCTCGGGAATGGCCTTCCTGGCCTCTCTCAACTTCGTCCACCGGGATCTGGCCACGCGAAACTGCCTAGTGGGCGAAGGGTTCACCATCAAGATTGCAGACTTCGGCATGAGTCGGAATCTCTACGCCGGGGACTATTACCGCATCCAGGGCAGGGCAGTGCTGCCGATCCGCTGGATGGCGTGGGAGTGCATCCTCATGGTAAGAGCAGATTGGGAGGGGATCGCCCTCAACTTGAGTTATAAGTGTATTTTCTTTTATGTTTATGTTGTCACGTATTGTTTAAAGTATTTGTTTGTTTAGTCGTTTAGGCGTGTCTGACTCTTCGTGACCCCACAAAGTATAAAGTATAGTTTTTTGTTATGTTATTTTTTTTAAATAAAAAACCACAATAATAATGAAAAAAGTGAAGGGCAGATATGGAGAACTGAGTGAGGCAGGAGGGTTGCCGTATCAACGTTTTGGGATGAGTAATGGAGACAGTTCTTTAGGGCAGGGATGGGCAACCTCGGAGGATCGAAAGGCTGCACTTCACCTCCTGAAATAGGCGTGTCTGACTCTTTGTGACCCCATGAAGTATAAAGTATTTTGTTATGTTATTTTTTTTAAAAAAATCAATAATAATGAAAAAAGGAAAGGGCAGATATGGAGAACTCCTGAGTAAGGCAGGAGGGTTGCCGTATCAACATTTTGGAATGAGTAATGGAGACGGTTCTTTAGGGCAGGGATGGGCAACCTCGCAGGATCGAAAGGCTGTACTTCACCTCCTGAAATCTAGCAGATGTTGAACAATTGCCAGTTTTAGGGGGCAGGCCAGTGATTTCCCCCCCCTAAATTAAAAATTCAGCTGCGATAGTGGCAGTTCTCTAGGGTGTAGAAGCATAACAGAACTTCCTCCTGGACCACAGAGCTCTGCCAGCGTGCAGGAAGAGTGTCGCACTGCAGGACCAAAATATCTTCCGGGTGCAGGACGGGGATTATGAAAAGAAAAGGATGAAAGACAATGTTTTGGGGAGGCAGATTTAGTAGCTGCCACTTAAAAGAGACTGCTCTTTCATGTGGAGTCCTTTTTGCGAAGGATTTAAGAGAGTAAAATGCATTTATACTAATTAGTTCTAATCTTTTGCGAAGGATTTAAGAGATAAATGCATTCCCTGACACGAAGAAGCAAAGTTCTGAACTAAGCAGGGTGTGTGTGCGAAGAAGCAAAGTTCTGAACTAAGCAGGGGGGGGCGCTACATCCTTGCAGCTGTATGCAAATAATCTCTTTTCCAGAAGTTCAAACAAAACTTGGATTTTTAATTATTTTTTTTAAGCTATGACTTTGCAGTCCTTCCAACCAGCCTGATCACAGGCGGATTTTGGAAGCTGTGTGCAAAAAAACACATGCTCTAGGCCAGTGGTGGCGAACTTTTTAGGGCTCGCGTCCCCAAACTGGGCACGGGGGGGGTAGTGGGCGGTGTGCCGCCACTTTTTAGGGCTCGCGTCCCCAAACTGGGCGGGGGGTGGTGGACAGTGGGTGGTGTGCTGCCATGGTGGAACCAGAAGTGGCGGTGAAAGGGGAAATCCCGGCACCGAGGTGCCTCGAGACCCTACTCCAGATCCGCTTGCCAGCACCAGCTGCTCCGGATCCACCTGCCGAAGCGCCTTCTCAGGTTTGGCTGTGCAGGGGGGGGGTAGCGATCTGGCAACTTATGGTTCGCGTGCTGGTAGAAAGGGCTCCACGTGCCAGCTGTGGTACGTGTGCCATAGGTTCGCCATTGCTGCTCTAGGCAGAGACAGAGGTTGCATAATGTCTGAAATCCTGTTGTTTAGTGTTGCAAGTTGCAACTAGATTAAGCCCACGGAATCAGTGAGGATTTTGTGAATCAGCTTCTCTGTGAGTCCCATTGATTCTGTTGGGTGTGCTCTAGTGCAGCGTTTCCCGGCTTGGGCGCTGTGACTCCCCCAAATGTGTCACAAAGTGTTTTCAGGTGTATGGGTCATGGATCACCTAATGTGTGTTGTAGCCCTTGTTAAATAATTTCTTCCTTGACCGTTTAAAGTTATTGCGTATGTATAAGAAACAGGCCCTTTGGGGGAGAAAGAAGCTTCTGCTTTTTGAGAAAGGATGATTTTACCCCACTAAAAATGCCTTTGTATGCAAATGTGGAAGGGGAGCATCCTAGGTTATTTGGCGAGTGTGACTCAAAAAAGTTGGGAACTACAAATGCCTTTGTATGCAAATGTGGAAGGGGGAGGGCATCCGAGGTTATTTGGCGATTGTGACTCCAAAAAGTTGGGAACTATTGTGAATCAGCTTCTCTGTGAGTCCCATTGATTCTGTTGGGTGTGCTCTAGTGCAGCGTTTCCCGGCTTGGGCGCTGTGACTCCCCCAAATGTGTCACAAAGTGTTTTCAGGTGTATGGGTCATGGATCACCTAATGTGTGTTGTAGCCCTTGTTAAATAATTTCTTCCTTGACCGTTTAAAGTTATTGCGTATGTATAAGAAACAGGCCCTTTGGGGGAGAAAGAAGCTTCTGCTTTTTGAGAAAGGATGATTTTACCCCACTAAAAATGCCTTTGTATGCAAATGTGGAAGGGGAGCATCCTAGGTTATTTGGCGAGTGTGACTCAAAAAAGTTGGGAACTACCGATCTGGTGCAACTAAGTCAGTGAGATTTCTCCATTGTGTGGCTGTGGGTTTAGAGTAATTTAGTATATCTCCACTTTTTAATTCAGGTGAAAGGTGTGCGAACACCAAGGTTGATCATATTGATATTTAATTAAAAACAGCAGAAATAATTTTATCTTTGCCTACCATTGGAAGGAACGGCAGGGAGATCTCTCTTGGCAATGAGTTCCACAGCCTGGGCTCAGCTGTGTGTGTGTGTGTCTATACACACACCTGTCTCTGGTGCCCCTTTTATTTTCATCTCCCTGTTCTGTTTCCTCGCAGGGGAAGTTCACTACGGCCAGCGATGTCTGGGCCTTTGGCGTCACACTCTGGGAGGTGCTTATGTTGTGCCAGGAGCAGCCTTACAGCCAGCTCACCGATGAAGCCGTCATCGAGAACGCGGGTGAATTTTTCCGGCACCAAGGCAAACAGGTATCGACGGGGGTTGGGTGGGCTTGGCCAGAGAGTGCTCTAGGTTTAGGACCTTCTGTTCCTGAGGTTGTGGTGGTTTGTGCCTTTGCCATATTGGGAGGCACACAGAAAGATGGTCCTAGAAGAAACTTACTTTCCTTGTGGCCTGCTGAGATGAAAAATGTCTCCTGGGTGGAGAGGAGGGAGGGAGACCCATCTGATCTCACATTTTCCCTATCTGCATGAGAGACCTCCGAAAGAAGAAGAAGAGTCAACTTGAGCACAGAAAGGTGGAAATACTCTGTTGCCATCTGTGACAATAAAGTCTCGGACAGCAGTTCTCATCACAACCACATCAGCATGGGTAGTGTAGTCTATTCCATTGGGAGGAGCTGAAGTGTTAAGACATCAAAGATGTCTTAGCCTTCAAAAGGAAGAATGTCTTCTTTGCTATCATGGCAGTAGCCACTTGGCATCCATTCTCAGTTATCTTGTGTCATCTCTTTGGAAAGCCCTCTTAAATGAGTGACCATCCTGTTTCTGGTTGTAATGAATCCCATCAGCTAAGGATATGTGTTGTTATACTAGGAGTGTGTAATGATGTCCAGATGTTTTTGGATTGTAATTCCCATAGTGTCTCCCCATTGGGTAGGCTGGCTATGGCTGGCGGGAATTGTTGACCCACCAAAGCTTCTGGAAAGCCACAGTTTTAAACATGTCGTATGAACTTAGCTTTTTCTTTTTCTTTCAGACCTCACAGCACAACTGTTTGTCCCTCTCTTGGTTTCAGCCTGAGTGTAGGATTGGTTGGGGGGGGGGTCTGCTTCTCCACAAAAACCCAGTGAACGCAGGCTCAGAGGAAAAACAAATGGATACATGTCTAGAGACTTCTCTTCTCCCACATCTGCAAGATGCAGAATTTTAGGGGGGTGGATCAGAAAGCTTCTCTTTCTCGGGGCAGATGTTTGTTCTTCATCAGTAAGGTGGTAGGGAACTCAGGTCAACGTATCTCCTTTGTGGCTTCTACACACAGTTAATATTGTGGAGATGTTTCATCTTGTCTCCTTAATGACCTTTTCTCTGGTGAGAAAAAGAAATGGAAGAAACAAAGGGAAAATATGAGAGGGCTGCCAGGAGATGTCCGTGATGTCTAGATCCACAAGAAACTTCAACCAAAGGGAAAACCTGGGGTCCATACATATATACGTGTAGCCTTGAAACACCCCCCCCCTTGATCTCAAATGTGGGTCCATTGGAAGCATTGTGGAGTGACTTTCTGGTAAAGAAAATGTATTGTGTATATCCTCCAGGAAATTCTGTGTCTTGCATGTCCCCAATCTTGAATAGAGGCTCTGAGATGAATCCCTTGCATTTCCTGTTTAAAAAGAACCCATCAGAAAATTGGGTTTTGTGTTTTGTGCCTTCCTGCCTCTCTGGTTTGTCATGAGTCCCTTCTCCCTCCTCCCTGCAGGTCTATCTCTCCCGTCCTCCAGCCTGCCCCTTGGCTGTCTACGAGGTGATGCTGAGATGCTGGGCCCGAGAGGCCAAGGACCGCCCGCCTTTCCAACACTTGCACCGCTTCCTGACTGAGGATGCCCTCAATATGGTGTGAAGCCAGCCTGACCCACTGGCCATTAGAGGCTACACTAGGGAGTCAGGCGGCAACCCAAAGACCGCTGGGGGCAAGGTGTGCCTTGGGGAAGGGGGTTTCTTGTGCTAGAGTCTACGGGGGTGGCCATGGGGACATTTGTCCTTCCCAAGCCCAGCCATGGCCCGCCCACTGCCCTGCCACTCACCTCCCCAAATGCGTCATTCTTTACCCACTTGCTTGTTCTCCTCTCACTCTCTGCTGCCTGTTCACCGTCTACCCATTTCATGATCCAGGCATGCCAGGCCGATATTTGTTCAGCTCTCTGCTTCTCTATTTTTCCAGTCTACCAAGCCACAGACACATTTCATTTTCTTCTTTTCTTGCCCCCATCTCTATCTCATCCTTTTATCTTCAGTTTACCTTATCAGCAGACTTCATGGGTACCTGCGCTTGCCTGCGCATCCTTTATTTGCGCACGCAAATGACCTCTGCATTCTCGTCATCGATCCATCCTTTGTGAGTGGTGTTGCTTCTCCGTGTATCTGTCACACCGTTTCCTCCCTCTTTTTAATTTCTGGGTTCTCAAAGTGTGAGTGGAAGCCACTCTTGAGGGAGAACGGCTTTGTGCTAGGTGGCACCTTAGGAGCAGCTCCCTGACAACATTCCTCCAAGAGGTGTAATATATGTTCTGATTGTCCCATCAAGTAGAATCCAGTTGCTTGTATTCCTGTCAGTTCACGGTTGTTGATGAGGTTACTGAAACAGGATGAAATGATCTTTATTTAGGCCTTGTGCCTCCAACTTGCTGGGCCCAATGTCACAATGTACCCGTTTTGAATTATTATTTCTTCTTCTCGTCTCTCCTCTTAATTTCCTGTGATTGTCTCTTTGATGTGCCTTCAACACAGTGGTTGTCAAAATGCCGGGTAACACGTCCAGCCCTGAGGGAGCGTGAAATAGCTGTATGGAGAGGGGATATCAAAAATTCTAGGAAAGGGTGAAAACCTGAGGGGTATGGAGCCTTCTCTTATCACCTAAGACATTAATTATTTGACCGCCCTTCCCAAGAGAGGTTCTGCCCTGATCTGCATTATGGGAAGAATGGCTCCTTGGGCCTGCATTTTATTTGAGAAGAGCTGCTACTTTGTTGTAAATGAAGTTTTTCTTCTGTATGTGGTCCCAAGGGGCCTTGAGGACCCCTCTCGGACAAAGGTGTGCAGTGTGGTTGTTGGCCTGCAGCTCACAGAATCCAACAGCTAAGTTATTGGCCGTAGAGTCCCTCCGCCTCACAAACACAACTATGCTCCAAAGACAGCATGTGTGTGATCATTAAACTCTGACCTAGAAGATGCAGCAGGAGCCTGCAAAGATGGCTCTACAGGCTGTGGGGAGAGTAGATGAGCTGATTTGTAGAAGGCATCGGCTGTGGGGAGAGTAGATGAGCTGATTTGCAGAAGGCATCTGTGTGTGTGTGTGTGATATGCACACAGTTTTTTCTGTGTGTTTGTGTGTGTGTATGTGTGTATGATATGCACACAGTTCTTTTCCCTTGCTTTATGGAGGCTTGCCTTGGCCACCTTTGAGAAATGTACTTCCGTTTCTTTCTTTTCGCCCACTTTTCCTGGCATCCCCTCCAGAGAAACTGTGGGTACGAGGTGGAGAGGGAGAACACTGCTGAGGGGTGTCCATACTGGTGACGATCTTTCTACCATTCTAACTGGACTAACACTGGATTGGATCCTCTGGTCCAAGCACACTGGGATTTGCTGAGCACTGGATGCTTGGAGAGGCTGGAAGAATCGGGTGCAAAAGGTACTTCACAAGCCTACTGTAGGTGGTTGGGGAGAACCCAGCACTAGCTGCTCTTAAGAGGGGGCAAGGGAGACCACCTCTTGGCCTTATCTGCTTGGACAGGTCCGAGAGGTAGGGGCCCGGGCTGGCAAGGTCCACTGTAGTGCAGAATGGCTATTAGAACTGGAAGGGATATTGTCTGCTTTTGAAAATGAGTTTAACACTGGGGGCCGAACAAGCTGGTTTTCCATTCTGCCTTACAACCTGCTGCAGATTTGGCCAGGCTGGAGGAGACCCAGCCCTGCTCTTTGTAAATGCATTTGTGTTCCCCCCCCCCTCTTTTCCTGGAGACTTGAGGTGATGTGATTGTAGATACTGTACTGTACAAAGCGGCGATCAAAGGATGCACTTTCCAAAGCAAATGGAGTGTCTTGGAAGACTGATCTTAAGGACAGTGCCTGTGAGTCCACCGTGGAAATAACCCAAAGGAATGCATACTGAATGCCTGCACCACAGTTGGGTTTACCGTAGTAGGATCTGCGCATAGAGAAGCTTGCATGGCGGTCTGTGCTGGATCTCGTTTGTGCATCCAGCGCCTAACAAATGACCTCCCAAGCAATAACATTGGTGAAGACCTTTGCCCTGTTTGGTGGGAAGAAGAGGAAAAATATCTTTTCTCCTGCAATGCTTTGCTTCGTTTTCCGACAAAAACAAAACAAAAATAAAAATGGACAAAGACGATTGTATTTTCTGCCAAGGATGAATAGCCTTGTTTCACCAAGCGTCTTTCAAAATGTAAAGTTTGTTTAAATAGGTCATTGTAGACAGCATTCTGGGTTAAGGATGGAGGGTTCTCAGAACATGACCTCAAAATGTTCCAGAATTATTAGAAAGGTCTATCCTTTATGTTTCAACTTTTTGGTAGGCACAGGTGGTTAGAAAATAAGCGAAAATATGCATTACGATTGTACGTGTGTATACATTGAACGCTATCCTTCATAAGTTATGACCTGTATTCCAAGCTTACATGTGTTTATTTCAATGTTCCGTTGAGTTTGGTGGGGTTTACTCACAAGTCATTGTGCCAAGGACTGCAACTACAGCACAGTTCCATTGTTTTCTGCGGGTTGAATCCAGCGATCCACAGTTAGAAGAAATCATGGCTGTGCTGATCTTCCATAGATTATTGTGCAAGGGTTTGTTTGGTCCATTAAATGCACACCATGCCACCAAAAGTTATTTTCTGCTTTATTTGCAAGAAAGCATGCAGGTCCCCCCCGCTTTTATTAGCCCCAGTGGGGATGATGAGTTTATATTCTGAGAAACAGCTAGAGAAGGGAAAGGTTGATTCTTCCTCTATCCCCATATGGTGGGCCTGATCCGGACCGGAGCCTTGGACACATACTTGAGGGTAAAACAGGAGGAGAGGTCCTTTCAGCTATATGCTGTACATTTAGTGCAATGTATAGTTTTAACTCATGGGTTGTGTAACCTTGTAAGCGCTTGTGCAAAAGACGGTACAAAGGCCTTGTGCTAGTGTGTGTTGACATCTTGTTGCAAGAGGTTGCACAATTCACGGCGCCTCTGGATTTCAGTTTTCAGGGAGGTTTCCCTAAATCAGAAACATTCATGTGTGTGCCAAAGCATCTTATAGTTCAGTCAGCTTGTTGCAGTCCTAACTGTGGTGACTTGGGAGGAAGCGGCACAAGAGAGTGTACATAAGATTGTAGCCACAGCCATGGTTTAACTTTTGTTTAATCAGATCAGACTAATATTTTTTTCGGGGGGGGGGAATCTGCAGTTGTCTGAATTACTCATTATAACGAGATGTATATTTCTGTGTGAAGGGGTTCCATAATGCCTGTCTCTGCTTCTCTTGTTTCATTGCCTCTCCTCGGTCCTTACCCTGTCAGATACCTTTTCCACGTTTCCCCTGGGATACTTGTAGCTGTTTGTTTGTATTGTGCATCAAGATATGTATATATTTGAAGAGCAGGAAAAAAAATAGACAGATTTTTTTACACTAATATATAGATGTTTGGGGTTTTTTTTTAGTCCTTTCCATTTATGTGGTGAAATAAAAAAAAAAACGCTTTGCATTTTGTACAGTTCTTTTGTCTGCATTGGCTGTTGAATTGGGCAGAAGGGAGAAGGAGGCTGACGGGACAAGGGTGGGGAAGAAGGAGGACCGGAAGGGCCTTGTCATGAGACTGTGAAGAAGCCACACTTTGGGGGAGGAGATATTTTTTGTTTTAAACTTCAGCTCCCGCGATCCCACAGCCAGCACAGTGGTCCCAAACCATCTTGGATAAAATATTCCAGTTGCTGTAAGACAGTTGGCTGTTTGTGTTGCAATGGCCTTAACACACTTGCCTTCCCACCCCCCACCCCCGGAATGAATGAACCACTGCTGTAGGACAATGGTTTCCAACCTTGAGTCCTCGGATATTCTTGGACGTTTTATTTATTTACAAGATTTTTAGCTGCACCATTACCAATGGTCTCTGAGTGGCGTACAACAATATGGTACCTTTAAAAACATGAAAACCATTAAAAACAGGGAATATTATAATAATACCCTATATTTGAAACAGTCATTAAAATATTAATATTAATAAATCTTGCTGCTCATATGGGCAGCTAAATAATACTATTTAATTAAAATGCTGGCTAAACAGAAAGGTCTTTGCCTGGCGCCGAAAAGCCAAAAGTGTTGGAGCAAGGTGGATCTCTATAGGGAAAGCGGTCCAAGGTTGGGGGGGGGGGACAGCCGAGAAGGCCCTATTTCAACATGCCATCCCCCTCCCCTATTTCAGGGGTGGCACCTTCAGAAGGGCCTCGTGGCTTGATCTTAGAGGATGGGCAGGCTTATATGGAAAAAGGCGGTCCTTTAGGTAACCAGGTCCTAAGCCATTTAGGGCCTTATGTGTCAAAATAAGCACTACAACTCCCAGAAATCCTGGCTAGCACAGCTCTTTCCCAACACAGAACTAGAAGCCATGAGTGCCTCTAGAGCAGTTGTTCTCAACCTTGGGTCCAAGACCATCAAATGTTCTGGCAATATTACATTTTAAGCATCCTTGCAGCTGCAGTGCTACTTTGGTAGGAAATGGAGGACCAGATGGGTGCAAGAGGGACTCAGAATCTGAGCTACAGAAGAAGTTTTGACGCTTTATGATTACCGTATTTTTCGCACCATAAGACACACTTTTTTCCCACAAAACGGGGGTGGAAAGTCTGTGTGTCTTATGGAGCGAAGAAAACAGATTATATTTTCCTGTTTTCTTCTCCTAAAAAATTGGTGCGTTTTATGGAAAGGTGCGTCTTATGGAGCGAAAAATACAGTAATTCCCTGAACTGTCCAGACTACCAGATTGGTTCTCTGAAGTGATCACTATAAAGTTAGAGAGCATGAGGCAAATATCCAAAGTATTGTTTTGAAATGGAGAGTGTTTATTTAGGAAAAAGGGAGTGCATGATTCTAGCACATGAAAGAATAAAAAGATAATGAAAATTTATTTGAATGTATGTTTTTAAAAAAGCCCAATTTTTACCCTGTCTTTCTCCTCAAAAAGGACTCAAGGTGGCTTAGATAATTAAAAACACAATTACTGTATTAAAAGCTAAAAACAGTAAATTATTCAAATATTAAAAATAATAACATGTTTAAAATGTTAGGTAAAAGCATTACAAAAAAAGGAAAAAAAACAGATTTAGAAGCAACAAAATATAAACCATCCCCTTCATTGTCTCCTAGAAGTCAGTTAGTAAAGAAAAGCTTGCCTGAGGAGAAAGGTCTTATCCTTTTAGAGATACAGTGATTGCTTGTTAGCTGTAAGAAACATCAGTGGCTGGTGCCCACTATGGCTAGTGGGGCAGAAGGCACAGTAGCCCATGGTGAGTGGAGCCAGCGTCATAGATTCATTTTGTATTGGAAAAATGTTTGTGAGAGGATTACCCAACTACTGCACCAGGCTAAATTTTGCAAAGAATTTAGAATGCCAGCAATTCCAGATGAATTCTTCAGACATATGAAAACCTGGAGCTATACCACTGAACGACAGTCATATAAAGAGATCTGTCAATAGCTGCTCTTGACTTCCCATCCAGCAGGGGGACAAATGTTAGTGATATAGGGAGCTATCTCACACCGTGTCAAACCCTGTATTCTAGTGTTGTCAACATTGGTAGGAAGTTCCCCAAAGTTTCAGACAACAGCTTTTCTAGCCCTACCTGCTGATGTCAGGAGCTGAATTGAGAAACATGGGCCTTCAAAGGTGTGTTAATCTAGAAGAACGTCATTGACTCTCAACAAAATTAGACACAGTATAAATTTTTGAAGACTATTGTTTCATAGTAGTGCTTCAATCTTTAGTCTTTCTAGTTAAATATAATGGGAAGATAATTGGTTTTCTTTTTTTTTTTAGTGATACACACTTCACAAGAGATAACATGTTTAGACAAAGCCTTTCTAGCTATGATAGAGAAAAGCAAACAAAAGCAAATTCTCGCAAGGCACCCAACACTGAATTTCTCATCAATAGAAATAGTTACCTTTTCTAAAAAGCTCACTAATAATTCAAAGGCATTGGAAGGGGTTTCGTCTATTCATTTGAACAAATTAATTCAAGGATGGGGAACATGGGGCCATCCAGGTGTTGTTGGGTCGCAACTCCCATCCTGCTGGCATAGGCTGTGCTAGCTGGGGCTGCTGGGAGTTACAGCCACACTCAAGAGGGCTGCCTATTTCCCACCTCGGATTACTCTTAACAGATTAATCATCTAAACTGAAAAATAAACAAAACACTGCAACTCTTAAGAACTGAGGATGAGTCATTACAACAAGCCACACAATTCATGCACATCCAATGAAACTAAAGGCCAGATTCTGTGAGACTTTCTCCCACACCTGGAAACATCTCATCTCTCGGCAGTCACGCTGAGTGAAAAATGGAAAGGAAGGGGTTTACTTATTCTTAGTCGATCCAGAGCCACGGCCACGGCCTTTCCGGCGGGACGACTGAGCTGTGTTTGGAGACCCTTTGGTTCCTGAAATGGTTTCTCCCTCTTTCTGCGGGGCCGGTGGTGTCTTTGCAGATCCTTGGATTCGTCCTGAACCTCCTCGTCTTGCGGTGTAACCTCCCCTGGGTGTGAAGGGTTGTTTACTTGTGGATTCCCCTTTGCTGTCACCTGAGCTGGTACTTCTGCCAGACTGAGGGTCCTGGTTATTAACTCGTCCCCCTTCTTGCCCTGAAACATGAACCCCTCTGGATTTGGGCTGATTTTGCTTTATGAAGTCTCCTCCGCTTTGTCCAGATGTATCCCCTCCGGTGGACTGAGGTCTCTGCTGATTGGAACCACCCCCTCGCCTCCTGGCATAACCTCCTCTGAGCTGGGTCGTCTCATTCCTGGGGGATCTCCAGTTCCCTTGATGCCCATAATTGCCTGCACTGACCTGGAATCTTTGTGCGTTTGGATAATATCCTCTGCCTTGTCCCACAGAAGAACAAGGCGGCTGCCTCTGTGGGGACCCCCTGCCTTGTGACATGACGCCATGGCCCCGTCTGGAATGGGGTGTCCATTGGTACCCGGTCATTCCTCCTCGGACTGAAAGGTTAGAGAAAATGGGCCACTGCTCGAAGACAGGAACAGGGAAAGGTGGAAAGCAGAGCGGTGGCTTAAAAGGGGTGCTCTCCACAGTTGGAGATCCAGCACAGATGCTGCTGGACAAAGGCATTTGTTTATCAAGGGAACCTTCACCGGGAAGTGAGGTGCCAATTTCTGTGGTACTGCCGGATTCCTCCCTAACTGCTGTCTCTTCTTTAGCTCCATCAGAAATGCCTTCAGACAGGAACATGTTCTCCCCTTGAGGTGGAGAGTAGTAAGGAAAGTCTAGGACACAGGTCTCGATACTGATGCTTCCCAACATTTCCTTCCAGGCCTCAAAATCAAGTGACACTTCCAGCTCTCTGAGGGCTGGGTCCACAGGTATGATAGTGCCATCCTCATCCTCTGTGGTATCATGGGTTTCTTCACCATATACTTCCCCTTCACCAGGGATGTCTTCATCCCCCTTACATTCAGCCTCATTTCCCTCAGCTTCTTTATCTTCATCCTCTTCACCTTCCTTGGGCCCCTGTATATCTTCACTTCCTGTTTCTTCACTCTCTTCTCTTAGACAATCCTGGACTCTATAGGAAGCAGAAGAGACCATCTTTATATATTGTTCAGCTGAAGGTTCATTTATCAGAAACTTCAGCTAAAAAGACATTGGCGAGCAGAACTGGAAGTCAAAGCTTAATGATGTGAACTCGTTTCAGACTACAGCTCCCTCAGCCAATATGGCCGGCTGTTAAAATTGTTGTTAGGATATCCAGAACTTGAACAACCACAGAACTGGTCAGGAGGGTGGGCAGCTCTAGCAGAATCAGAAACTTTTCAGAGGGCATCTAGAAAGTCCTTGTGCTCGGAATTGCCATAATAGGACCAGGAGAAACAGGCATGGATCCAGTGATCCAGCTGCCCGTTGGAGAACCGCCTTGTTCCAATTCCATCCAGAACTGGCAAAAGAATGGTGGGGAAGGGGTTAAACAAGAAGTGGACCAATGCCTACTTCAGGTTTAATTTTGGGAGGTGGGTAGGGTTCTTTTGCAGGGGTGGGCTATATTGTGTGCAGAACTGTTGCTTTCAGAGGCTGCTGGGAGTAGAAAATGCATTTTTTCAGCTAAAAGATTATTATCTAACTATCCAGAAGTTAGATATTATCTGTCTAATTGCTGCCTAGCTCAGTAGTTTAGATATGGTAGGGAGTTGGATTCTTCACTGTGCCTCCTTGACAGGGGCTGGACTTGATTATCCATATAGTCCCTTCCAGCTCTGCAGTTTTTAAGAATACGGTCCCTTCCAGCTCTGCAGTTTTTAAGGGGATGATGATATCCATCCATCCATCCATCCATCCATCCATCCATCCATCCATCCATCCATCCATCCATCCATCCATCCATCCATCCATCTGTCTATATAATTGAGAGCTCCGGGTGGGGAGTGTTGTGCCTGAAGAAATGCAGTTTAGAGACCATTCTTTGCCAGGTGGAGCAGAAAGAATTATGCAAGACACTCACTGTCTCATCAGTTCCTTGATGTCCTGTGTGAAGAGAAAGAGACGTGGTTAAGCCCAGGAGCAACCTGCTGAAGCAGTTTCCCACACAGGTCAGCTGATTGGCCAGCAAACACTCATTTCAGAACAACCAAGCAGCCAGCCCGGAAGCAGCCATTTGAGTCTGTCTCAGCATGTTGGGAATCTAAATACTAGTAGTTTTATTTCATTGTGATCTATGAAAGTTCATGCTTAAATGAGACTAATTTTTTTCTTTTCCTGAGTTCCACGCCATAATTTTCAGAGCTTGGAAAAGTTACTTATTTGAGTGATACAGTGATGCCTTGCAAGACGAAAATAATTCGTTCCGCAAGTCATGTATTGCGAAAATTTCGTCTTGCGAATTTTCCCACAGGATATGCATTTACTGTAAATGCATTTCCCATAGGAAATGCATTGGGGGAAATTCATCTTGCGAAGCATGGCCATAGACAAATTTGTCTTGCAAGTCACCAAAAAAAAAACACCTTGCAAAACACTTTCGTCTTGCAAGTTTTTCATTGCATGAGGCATTCGTCTTGCGAGGCATCACTGTACCTCCCAGAATCCCTCAAGCAGCTTACAAGAAAACAAGGAAAACACCACCGCCTTTTATTCACCGGAGTTCAAATCTATCCCAAGAGTGGTAGCCCAGAAGGCTTGTTTAGGGGGTGCAGGTCAAGCGTGGTAGTGCAAATAGCTTTGTCCACCAAAAAGGGGAGGAAAATCCCCTGGAACCCCCTGAGGCTGGAGAAGAAGATTGAGGAGCCTGCTACTCCTTTGCCCAGCACCCTCAGTTATCGCATTTTTCTGGCTAATGACTGGGCAATGGAACTGCAAATAAATAAGTATGTTACAGCTAGGAGGACATCAGCCTCAAATTAAACCTGCATAACTTCACATAGGAATAAAAACATCTGCTCAGTTGCAGGAGAAAAAGGACTAGCTTTGCTCAGGTTCCTTCCAGTATCTTAAAAAAAGTCAGATGGGTGTTTGTAGGCTAGAGCACTCAACTTGAAATTATAAAAAGTCACATATTTAAGTTCCAGAATGACATAGGAATGGGGAGTGAAGTTATTATTAATCACTGCTTATGTCCAAGGTCCTGTCCTATAGATGCAGCTCAACATGGCACACTTGTGTTTGTACATGCGTAGGCATGCATATGTGTAAGAGCATAAAAGCAGATCCACAGGCAAAGGAAAAGGAAGGAATTTCAAATCCTACTCTTACAATGTTTTCCCTTCAGGAGTACAGGTCCTTCAAAGTGCAGAATCCGAGCAACCAGGTTCTGAGATGTAGCCCCAATGACCAATCACAAAACAAAAGCAAAGAAATAGGCAACTCGCAGAATAAGGCAAGTTCACGTTAGCATGAGCAGCCATCTTTTTCCTCTTTAAAGGAGCTCCGCTTCAAATGATGTGTTAACTTTATGGTTCTATCCCAAGACATTTTGTTGTTTGACGAAAGAAGCAAAATGGCTCCCCCTCCCCCATTTTATGTATAGAAGCTTACTGTGCTGGTACCAGAATCCTATCCACTGTTGACGAGACAACGTTCTCAAACACACCCGAAGCAGCGAGCAAGCTCAAGGGGTGCAGTATGGTGTGTGGTATATAGCATACATAAGGCCAGCCTCCAACAGAGGGGAACAGCTGGAGCATTTCGAAGGAACAATTGCCCCCCCCCAGCACCTGATGCCAGAGAGGATCATCTTACTGTGCCTAACAGTTGCCATTTACTGAGTTGGACCCATAATCTAGGCCTGAACTGGCAACAGCTGTTTAGTATTATTTCCTAGCCATCTCTGGAGATCCTTAACATTTCCAAGGGGCCAATTTACCAGGTGAGACCCTACTTAGCATCTGAAAATCAAAGATTAAGTATGTCCGCAGACAGGCAGTGGAGCTAATTAGCCGTATTCCCCCTTCCCCCATAACCAAGCAATATTACCTTGTAAAATATGGAAAATTACTCAGAAATTTACGCAGAAATTTATACATAAATTTACTCAGAAAATGCAATCTTCTCTCTCACAGAAGCATGCTTTTCAATTAGGACATGTGGAAAGGGTGCAAGAAATGACTAGGTGCCCATTTATATTGTGAAAAGGCATAGACAGAAAAATATATTAGGGAGGCCCTGCCTGAGTCTCACCTTCAGGAAAGCGAATTCATTGGTTTCTTCCAGCGTGGCTTGGATGCGACCAAGGGTCTCCGTGTGAGAGGACTCGCGGGCTTTCAAATGTTCCAGCCTGCTTTCCATGTCTGCCTGGTTGTCCTCCTTCATCTGTTTCACCGTTTCCATCATGGCTTGCTCTTTCTCGTTCAGGATTTCACGGAGTTCTTCAAATGCGATGAAGATCGAGCCACACAGATTTTGGTGAAGACTCTGCAATGGTCCCAAAGAAATGGGAAAGAGCTGAGAAATCTTGTTACTGCTGCTGCTGCCACAGCTAGTTTACTATATCAGAGATGAATATTGCATTAAAAATATGTGTTATTAGCATGTTATAGTTGGCCACTCTTGTTTGTCATCAGGAAGTAGTCCAAATAATTTACCTCCTTTTGCCAATTTGAGGGCTACGGAACTTGATTGCCATGGAAATGTTTTTCAGGAGCACACAAAATGGGGGCAACGAATTCTCATGGAGAATTATTATAGATATTTCACACCATTAGCATAAAGTAGGGGTGAGCTACGTACAGCCCTTGGGCCACGTGCCACCACCCAGGGCCCTGAAATTTTGAATCTATTGGCTTAAATAAGGTATTTTAATGTTTAATTTTATTAAATTTTAGTTAATGAAATAAGGAATGGGGAAGGGGTGGCCCCAAAGGTCAGTTACACCCATAGAGAGCCATTTCAGGCCAAATAAATGTTTTGAAATTAGTTTGCTGGGAGGGGGCTGGGGAGACCCTGTAAGATCCCATCCTGAGGCAACAGGTATAGCCCTCAAAGTTCTAAAGATGGACCATCCCTGTTATTGGGGGAAAAAAATCCATGTATAACCAAAGCTATGGTGTTCAGACTCGTGCAATTCAAGGGAGGAGTGCATTAAGGTTTGTTAGCAGAGCAAGCACAACATAAACATGTGGTTTTCGTGCTTACAACAAAGCAGGCCGAAGCAGTTTAAACCAACAGCTAACCTGTATTTAAAAAATGACACTCAAGATAAAAAAACCTAGACCCTCGTTCTAACTAAACAGAGACTTGCCATGTTGGAGAGAGGCGGAAATGTACATAAACTGTCATTCTGCCATCAATCTTGTTGGGATGACAATCCTATCTATACACACTTACAGGAAAAGAGGAGCTGTTTCCATCTGGGCCTTATTTCAGAAAAGACATTTACAGAGCTCCACTGTGGCAAATATCTTTTAATCAGTGTGTTCTTGATTTTTTAAAACTTGTTTTGTACTTATTACATTCTCCTCCTCCCCTTAAAAAAAACTTTTACACTGTGTTGTTTTTATTTTAAAATATAATAGAAATGTATCTGTGAAGATTCTGAGTCATCCAGGTGAGGTTACCTGGAAGTTGAGTCATAGCACCCGGTAATTTGAAACCTTTCTCTGCTCATCCAAGTAGCTTCTTCAGTCTGAGAAGAGTTGGTGGGAGACCCATGGAGAATAGATGAGGGCTCTCCTACCAACTCTCCTCAGACTGAAGAAGCTACTTGGATGAGAAGCAAAACGTTTCAATCTAACAAGAAAGACGTCCAGTGGCTAGGACTCAACTTCCAGGTATAATAAAAATGCTTTATGGCTAGAGTAATACAAGAAAGCGGGATAAGATTTAGATAAAAGACGAAATTGTTGAAAGAAACTTCCATAATTTAAGAGATGGAGATGATGATACCCTGTTACTGGCGAAAAACAGGAATCACTTGAAGTAACTATTGTTGGACATTAACACAGTAAGTACAAGCTTCTGGGGGATCCAGATTCAAGACCCCACTGAGCCCATGAAATTCCCTGGGTGACTTAACCCATGAGATGGTAGTAAGGATGAAGAATGGATGAATGGAAAGTCACCTATACCACTTTATAATATAATCTTAGAACTGCAGAGCTGGAAGGGACCCTGTGGATCATTGAGTCCATTGAAGGCTAGACAGGCTGGAATCTGAATCTCCCTCTCCCTCTCCCTCTCCCTTTCTCTCTCTCTCCCCCTCTCCCTCCCTCGCTCTCTCTCTCTCTCTCTCTCTGTATGTATGATAGTAGCCAAGATCCGTGACCATGGAACTAGCTTCCTGTAGGCAGTGGTTCTTAACCTTTGTTACTCGGATGTTTTTGAACTGCAACTCCCAGAAACCCCAGCCAGCACAGTTGGTGGTGAAGGCTTCTGGGAGTTGCAGTCCAAAACTCCTGAGTAACCCAAGGTTAAGAACCAGTGCTGTAGATAATTTACAGCCCTTGTTGTCAGCCAACAGATGGTACTGAAGCCTAACCCAGACCAGTGTTGTTAAGAGTGCTTACTTTCTGGGCTGAGGTTATTAAATATTAGCTCGGCTAAGTCTAAGCCTTGGAAAACACTCTGTGGCAGATAACACAAGTGTATAGGGAGGGAAGTGAAAGGAAAGTCCGATGCTGCAAAGAAAAATACTACATAAGAACCTGGAATGTAAGATCTATGAACCTTGGTAAGCTGCATGTGGTCAAAGAGGAGATGGCAAGAATAAACATTGACATCCTGGGCGTCAGTGAACTAAAATGGACAGGAATGGGCGAATTCCATTCAGAAGATTATCATATCTACTATTGTGGTCAAGAATCCCGTAGAAGAAATGGAATAGCTCTCATAGTCAACAAAAGAGTGGGAAAAGCTGTACTGGGATACAATCTCAAAAATTATAGAATGATTTCAATACGAATCCAAGGCAGACCTTTCAACATCACAGTCATCCAGGTTTATGCACCAACCTCTGATGCTGAAGAGACTGAAACTGACCAATTCTATGAAGACTTACAACAACAAGAATTGATGCTTTTGAATTGTGGTGCTGGAGGAAGCTCTGGAGAGTCCCCTGGACTGCAAGGAGATCAAACCTCTCCATTCTGAAGGAAATCAACCTTGATATGCTCACTGGAAGGACAGATCCTAAAGCTGAGGCTCCAATACTTTGGCCATCTAATGAGAAGAGAGAAGAGAAGACTCTCTGGAAAATACCCTGATGTTGGGAAAGTGTGAAGGCAAGAGGAGAAGGGGACGACAGAGGATGAGATGGTTGGACAGTGTCATCGAAGCTACCAACATGAATTTGACACAACTCGGGGAGGCAGTGGAAGACAGGAGGG